CCCCCCCCCCCGCCCCCCCCGCCTCCCCCCAAAAATCTTCTTCTGTGGAGGCTTATCAGAACTGTGCCGGCTGACCATCATCTTATCAGGACAATGGACTATCTGTTAGTGCTTTATGGACCGCCTCGTCATCAAATGCATATGTAACGTGTTATAAATGTGCTGCTGGCAGTTTTTTTTACGTCTTAAATCATGTCCTGTTAGGACAAAATATGAAGCGATCTTTTGTTGTATTGCCACTATCCTCTCCTCATGGCTTTGTCCCTTTTTAATCTAAAAAATGTATTCTGAAAAGGATAAGAAGGCAGCGCTATATAGCAGAAGCTACGTGCACCCCACCCATCTTTCGGATGACTGTACGGACATATTCTCATTGTATCTTGGTGCAATGATAATAAAGCTTATTCTGATTCTGATACACACACTGTGGTCAAGAAAGCCAGACAAAGACTCAGGGTGGTGTGGGAAACGCACCAGTCAGAGCTGGAAAGCTCTACAGAGAGTGGTGCAAACAACAGAGGACATCACTGGTAGCAGTCTCCACACCATCCAGGACATCTACCACAGCCGATGTCTGTGTAAAGCACACAGCATCATTAAGGACCACACCCACCCAGCACAAAGACTCTTCCGTTTACTACCCTCAGGCAGAAGATACAGGAGTCTGTCATCATGTACAAAAAGACTAAAGGACAGTTATTACACACAAGCTGTCAGATTACTGAACTCTGAATAAATAACACTAAACAACTGGAAATAACATTGCAGCAAGCCACATCTGTGACACCTAATATGACTAATATTAGCTTGTGACAGTTAATATGTTGCTGTTTGCTGCTGCACCATGTGGCTGTATCATGTATGTATCTACCTTACCAGTATAATTCATTTCAATGTTCCTCACTACCTGTGCAATAACCTGTCACACAACCTGTGTATTTATTAGTTATTTGCAATATATATTGTGCATTTTAGAGTATATTATTACCTTGAAATACTTAAATGTGTCCTGCTTGCACCGTTAAAATTCAATCATATTGTTGTTTATTATTTTCTCGTTAGGACCTTGTAAATGTTATAATTACTTTTTTCACTTTTTGGTACTTTATTTAGTACCCTTATTGCATGCTCCAGTATTTCTTGTTTGTTTGTTCTTTGTTTTTTTAGCGAGTCAAATAGGTTCTTCTCTTCCTAAGCATTTCATTGTACTGTTAACCTTATGACAAATAAACACAACTTGACTAACTCCACTTTTATAATGTACTGTATGTGATTATTATTTTATCATTATAGGAAATGAAATGACTGTAAATTAATTTGAATCTGGACCTAAATAGGAATCAAGATTTAGAATGACAATGGTTAGCACTAAAAGGTTGCAGGTTCACCTCCTGGCCTTCTAATGTGGAGTTTAAAGGTTCTTCCGTGCATTTGTTGGTTATCTCCAGGTACTCTGGTTTCCTAGGTGAGTTGACAACTAAAAATTGTCCCTCCGTGTGGGTGAGTGTGAATGGTTGTCTCATTTGTCTCAGTGTGTTCTTGTGATGGACCTGCAACCTGTCTAGGGTGTCTCTCACACAATAACAGCTGGAGATAGGCACCAGCTCCCCAGTACCCAAAGGAAAAAGTGGTTAAAGAAACTGGATGGATGTGTGAGCCTTGCCTGGTGTAGATACGTTCTCATCGGTCCACTGAAAGAAGCCACACTGCTGATCCCGTGGTTTCCCGCAGGTGTCGAACGTGCGGCCCTTGTTTGGCCCGTCCTTCTGCACAGTGCGTGTCACTGCAGTCTCGTTGCAGTTGCACATTGCGTGTCCCGCTGCACTCGCTTCTTGCTCTCTGCCACCTCTGGACATGTTTCCAAACCCCTGAGATGGCCTCATAGGCTGAGGGGTCCTCTGTGCTGGCCGTAAGGGCTCTCGCCTCTCCGGCACCCCCTGTTGACTCGGCTGATCTGCCCACAGGAAGAAGTTGCAACTCCCAGAGTTGCACTTGTAGAACTGGCGACCCTGATTGGGTCCATCTTTCCGCACAGTCAGAAGGAGTGCGTCCTGACCACAGTTGCACACGATCGCGTCACTGCTGTTGTCGACACACACTCCTCCACCACCTGGAGGAGGTCTTGGTTGCAAGGTCCAGGAAGGGACAGGAGGAAGAGAGGGCCGAGGATGGGAACTTGGGGCTCTGGGTGGCTCTGCTCTAGGAGGCCTCAGAGCTGGAAGGTCATCTCCTCCTCCTCGTGTTCTGAGGTATTTCAGGTCCAGCACCTCTCTGAGTGTCTCATCACAACCACCAATACATCCGACAAATTCCAGAGGCATCATGGGAGGAAGGCCACCTCTGCGGAACTTGAACTTCAACCTGAAACGAGGAGACACACAGATCTGAGTTAAGAGATGGAAGAAGATAAAAGATGTGGGGCTGTGCAAGAAATTAAACAATGATCCAATCTATCTGTATTTGTAAAGCACAGTGGACCAAAGTGCTGCACAGAGTTTACATAAAACACATCTCACACATTAAACGATTACAACACAAGTAAATTAAAACCATGTAATAAAAACCAGTGAAATACATACAATCAAGACAAACAACAAAACATAAAAACAAATAAAACTATAAACTCTATGAATACAAAAATTAGACAAAAATGAAATATAATCAACTCTTTACAAAGTGATAAAAGCCAAGTACAGCAGGTGAGTTTTAAAAGCAGATAATAAAACCTTTCTAAGATGGAGGGGTAGATCCTTCTACAACTTAAGAGCTGCTGCAGCAAAAGCTTGATCCCCCTGAGCCTGAGTCCAGTTGTAGGGACACTCAGGAGCAGCTGATCAGCTGATCTGAGTGAGGGGTTGAGTTTGTAGGGATGTAGCAGTTCAGAGAGGTCGGGCGGGGTAAGGTAATTCAAAGATTTTAAAAACAAAGTACAGTAGTCCCTCGCTACTTCACTGTTCATTTATCGCGGACTCGCTCTATCACGGTTTTTCAAAATAAGATTGGACATGACACACAATTTGCTGATTGATGGATGAGTCACACAATCGGCATCTAATATTTATTTAAAATAAATTATTTTAAATTATTTAGCACCAGCTGCACCTGTGTGCAGCCAGAGCTGCAGGATAAACTTCCCGCTGCAGCTGATCAGCTGATCTCGTGGAGAACAGAGAAGTGAACGTGGCCAAGAGTGCTTGTAGGTGACAAAGAGCAGAGGAGTCAGAGAGCTGAAATCATGACATTCTGTGCTCTTTTAGAGCGTTTAGAGTTTAGAAACATTGTGTAGAAT